TATTACTATTGCTTGCTATCACGGAGTGTTACTAAACCCCCATGTGATAGCATTGGGCAAGTGACAGGTACTCTTTTTGGAGACATATGGGGGTTTATTTACTAAAGCTGGAGAGTCCAAAATCAGACTCCCTTCTGCATAGAAACCAATCAGCTTCCAGGTTTCATTGCCAAAGCTTCATTGAACAAGCTGAGGTTAGAAGCCGATTGGTTTCTATGCAGAAGGGAGTCTGATTTTGGACTCTCCAGCTTTAGTAAATAAACCCCTAAGAGTCTAATAGACCCCCATGTCTCCCCTGCCCTTCACACCATCTAACCCTGGTCAATATAGTGAATTTGGTGTAGAATTATTCACTTTAAGGACACCACAGAGTACAAGGGGACACTTTACGTCTAGAGAAAAATAGATTAAAAAGAAGTATGGGCTTTTTTTTTTTTGTTTCCTCAATGCAGTATCATTCCAATGCTGAATCTGTCCCACATTGGCTCTAAGTGTGAGAACTCAGCAATCACATGACTGCTGAGTTCACTGCCCCTGTGAGCAATGACTGTCAGTTTGTTCTGCCTCCCGGGCTCACTGGAGCGCTGGGTTGTGAAGGGGGAGGGATCCCAAGATGGCAGCTTCCTTTGCTGTAAAGAATTTAGTTCCACATTCCAGTCTCTTAATCTGTCCTGGAATACCAAGCAATTTTGCAAATGTAGCCTGTTGATCAAAATATAAAAAAAACATACTACTGTTACTGTATCATATACTGACCGTAAACAGAACAAGCCAGGCATTTTATTAATATATATATGCTTGATTCAGTATTTTCGCAGTTGTAAGCTATGAATGATTTCTATATAGGGCCTGAAGAACAAGTGGTTATGCTAGAATCATGGCTACAGCTGCAGCCATGATCCTGGTACCATTTTTTAAAGCCAGCGATCAGCTTTCAGGTAAAAGGTGACCGAGTGGCTCTGCAGCTGCCCGATAACTTTTACAGGGCTTGGAAGGGGCCTGACAACATCCCCCCCGCGCCATTCCCTAGCTCTCCCATTCCACCGAGGACCCCTGTAAGCGGTTAAACCAGCTGCCCACATCCTCTGATGAAAGAACCCAGAAGGGAAGGGGATTTTGTCACTTCCATTTTCCATGCTGTATTTCCCTGGCTAGTACTGGCAGAAAAGCAGCCAATCAAACTAATCTCTGATTGGCTGCCGTGGAGGGATCAGGGGGTATAATAGACCCAATATCCCCACCATAAAGAGGACCTGTCACAGCTCAAGCTATCACAAGGGATGTGTGATGGTGCAGTTGAATGAAAAAAAAAAAAAAAAAAAGTGTAAAAAAAAAAAAAAGAAAAAAAATTACCTAAATAAAATGCAAACATTTTAATGCAAATGCGCAGATAGGTCCTGCATGCATATGAGAAATGTCAGAACTGCCCCAGAGAGCAACTGGTTAAATTAATGCAATCATAAAAATACATCAGTACATGACTGGGTATTGAAAGTTATCACAAATTTGATTTTCATATGATTGGATGAAGTGAATATTCACACCATTTTTTCAGTGAAGATTCCCAACTTCTTTAGTAAGTCAACCTTCAAGATTCAAGTACAGTGCTGTGAAAAAGTATTTGCTCCCTTCCTTATTTTTTTTTGCATAATGGTCACACTTAAATGATTCATATCAAACAAAATTTTAATGTTACAAAAAAATAACACAAATAAATACAAAATGCTCCCCCCCCCCCCTTGCTAAATCAGGAATGACGGACGGTGATTAACCACATTTTTTGGAAAAGCGGAGTTAAATTTCACTTGCCACACCCAGACCTGTTAAACCAAGAAATCACAAATAGAAGCGGTCTGACAAAGTGAAGCACTGTCAGGAATGGGCTCACCTGCCGTGTGGGCTGCAGTACCGGTGCTTGCCAGCGGGTGTGTCAGGAATGGGCTCACCTGCCGTGTGGGCTGCAATACCGGTGCTTGCCAGCGGGTGCTGTGCTCACCTGCCGTGTGGGCTGCAGTAGCTTTGCCAGCGGGTGCTTTCCGCAGCCAAGATCTCACTCCTGCAATCAAGCAATCACCTGAGGCTGATTGCAGGAGGTGTATTTAAGCAGGACCAGGCCTGCAATCAGTGCCTTGGTGTTGTCCCATAAGCCCCTGTATCTTGTTCCTGTGTTCCCGATTGTCCTGTACTCCTGATTGGCTTGTTGCCGACCCAGCTTGATCCTGATACTGCTGTCCTCTCCTGCTCTGACCCCTGGCTCGCCCTGACCATTCTCTGCCTGCTCCCATTGCCTGACCTCCTGTTACCGAACCGGCCTGTGACCTGTTATTCTTTGCCTGCCGCTCTGTACTGTCTGCTCTGCTGTTGCTGACCCGGCCTGTCTGACCACGCTACTCTTCACATCTGGCTCTTACCTGCTCTACGCCATTGGCACCTGCCTCTACCACAGCTGGTGTTCCTCAGGGGTCGTGACCTGGTCTCAGGCTGCTTCAAGTCCATCCCCACCATCAGGGGCTCTGGTGAACCAGCAGACTGAGACTTAGACTCCGCGCCCTGAGGGACTCTGGCCAGTGAGTCGCTAGAGGCTACCGCCAGTCGGCCACTGACAGAACCATAAGGCCTGCCTGACCATTCCACCTCCCCAGCCCTGACTACACCTGTGTTCCTGCACATACTGATATTAGTGGAAGGTTGAATTTGTTTACTGTGCATTTTGTATATTTGGGCGGCTAATAATAAATTATATTGTTATTACATCATATCTGAAGCCTGTTACTTCCCTGTGTCAGTCCACACATTTCTGGTCATACCCGGATCACTGACAAGCACGCTAAAACATCTAAAAAAGCAACACATCATGCTGCGATCTAAAGAAATTTAAGAACAGATGAGAAGCAAAGTAACTGACATGCATCAGTCTGCAAAGGGTTACAAAGCCATTTCTAAGGCTTTGGGACTCTAGCGATTATTATCCACAAATGGAGAAAACTTGGAACAGCAGTGAAACTTTCCAGGAGTGGCCAGCCAACCAAAATTACTCCAAGAGAACAATGACAAGTCATCCAGGAGGTCATAAAAGAACCCAGAACAACATCTAAAAGAACTGCAGGTCTCACTTCCCTCAGTTAAGGTCAGTGTTCATGATTCGACAATAAGAAAGACTAGGCAAAAATGGCATCCATGGGAGAGTTTCAAGGTGAAAGCCACTGCAGACCAAAAACACAATGCTCTCACATTTTCCAAAAAACATCTTGATTATTCCCAAGACTTTTGGGCAAATATTCTGTGGACCGAGTCAAAAGTTTAACTTTTTGGAAGGTGTGCGGCCCATTACATTTGGTGTAAAACTAAGACAGGATTTCATAATTTAAAATTAAGGTTTTGGAGTGGCCTAGTCAAAGTCCAGACTTAAATCTGACTGTGATCACGCTGTTGATTGACCTTAAACAGGGCATTTATGCTCGAGAAACCCTCCAATGTGGCTGAATTAAAACAATTCTGCAAAGAAGAGTAGGCCAAAATTCCCCGACAGTGATGTGAAAGTCATTGCCAGTTATTGCAACCGCTTGATTGCAGTTGTTGTCGTCAAGGGTGACACAACCAGGTATTAGGTTTAGGGGGCAATTACTTTTTCCACATAGGGCCAGGCAGGTTTGGACAGCTTCTTTCCCTTAATAAATGAAATCATCATTTAAACACTGCATTTGTATTTACTCGGGTTATCTTTTTGTAATAATAAAATAAGTTTCATCTAAATCAAATATGCACAAAGAAGGCAAATACTTTTTCACAAAACTCTAAGGATAAACACCTCTTTAAATAAATTAATTTTGTTAAAAAAAAAGATTAGCTATCCTTCACCCTTAATGAGCAAATTGAATTCACCTTCATACATGTCAGCATGCAGTTATCACCTAGGGCTAGGCAAACATCAATACTTAGATATATCTGGCTAAAGACACATGCTCACTTAAGGTGGACAGACTCATGTTTTCCAGCATCATAGTTAATGCCATGGCATTTATGTAAAAAATTAATCAGAACTAATATATCTGACATTTCTTATAAAAATGTGTGAGCAAGGAAACCATAAAGCGTTGCCAAGCATTTATTTGGCTTGTAGTATTAATGCAATTTTTTTTACAATTTGCATAATTAGAACACTTTAATAGGACCATATGGCATAGTAACAGCTACTCAAGCCAACTCTCAAAAGTAGGCACCTCACAAAACCTGTTCTTTGGGCCCCAAACCCGAGGCACACACTTATTGGTATCATTGAGCTTGATGGAATAGTTTGCAAAATCATAGTGCATAGACTGGACAGACATTGGGGGTGGGTGACAGGGATCCCTCTGGCACACAGAAATGACACTGCAAAGATGTAAAAGTAGCAGAAGGCACTCCATAGTGCCTTCTTGTCAGTTTAGTATAATTTATCATTCAATAGGCGTACTTTAATGCGTTGAAGTGTGAAGAATGAATATGCATTTCAAACACAAACTGCATACTCTTGCAAGTTTTTATCCATATCCTCAATTTCATGCCCCAGACCAGCCAGTTAAAAAGCTGCTATCATGAAGCAAAACTCTTGTTTGGAAAAGCAGACCACATACTATTTCCATTGCGTTAACCCAATGAATAGATACCGCTTCACTGTAGCAGAAATAATATGTAGCACATTAGTCAAGAAATGGTTACGTACATCGGAGCTTTCTTACCCAGGTAGATTGTCATATTCTATTTAACATAGAAGGCCACAAACTACAACCACCTGGGTTTCCCTCAAGATACTATTCTATCAATAAAAAACATCCCAACCCCAGTTAACTGATTTTTAAGTCAGTTTAATCAGCATCAGCTGTGAAAGTTATCAGAAGAATATTCTCCTAATAATTAAAATAGGACTTAAAAAAATAACAGCCATGGATGTATGCTTGTTATAGTCACAGATACTGTGACTTTCTTATTTCTCCAAGGATTGCCAAATCCAACACATTTATTTAATCACTCTCTACATCAAGTGGGTTATAATCTGGATCATCTTCATCATCCAGTTCTAAATCATCCAAATCTTGGAACAGGGATTCATCCACTTCGACACTGTTGCCTGCTGTAAACAAGAAGAAGACGATATGTCATTTACCACTTAACCTTTTTTTTTTTTTGTTCGAACAAAAATGTACAATGGCAGTCCAAAATTTTCACTTTGGCCAACAAAACATGCCAGCACTCACAAAGCTATAAATCAGGGATTAGCCCTTAAAAAGTTTACCTTTTGATACAAAATAGTAAATGCACATTTTTTGCGGGTAAAAAAAATTAGCATTTATTATTTTTTGCTGCAGGAGCCTGGAAAGCATTGTACCAGCGATCAGCAAATCATTAGTGCCATGCAGATCTTCTGCTGACCTGTCAATATATCTGCCTACCTGTACAGGACGTACGAGCAAGCAGATATACTGGCAGACAGATTCAAAGAACTACTCATTGAAACTACAATGGGACTTGTATTTTCTCATTCACAGAGTGAATTTTTTTTTTTTTTTATTTGACAGCTAGCAGGGGTCGGCAGGGAGCAGCGGCAGGTGCCCTGAATATGGGTGAATATGTTGTGAAAGGTGAACTTATCCTTTTAAGATTTTTTCCTTTATGAAGAAACAAAATGCACTTTGATTTACTGAAGGGCTGATTGAGGACATCTAGTGGTTGTATCATTCAGTAATATATTGCTTGAAGAAAATGAGAGATAAAAAACCTAATTCACTATAAAACTATACAATTTTATATTGTTTACTTTTATAGCAAAGTTTGCTGAAGAAAAAAGCTTACATATACAAATGGTAACAGTTTCAACCATATGTTCCTTCCTTGGGCAACAGAGAATGCCAATTAAAAAAAAAATTTTTTTATTATATACACTGCTCAAAAAAATTAAAGGAACACTTTGAAAACACATCAGATCTCAATGGGCAAAAATATCATGCTGGATATCTATACAGATATGGGCTGGGTAATGTGTTAGAAGCCTAAAAATGCCCCATCATTTGATGGAAATGAAAATGATCAACCTACAGTCTCTCCATGGATATGCCTCCCCAGACCAGCACTGACCCACCACCAAAACTGAACATGCTGAATGTTACAGGCAGCATAAAGTTCTCCAAGGCACCTCCAGACCTTTCATGTCTGTCAAATGTGCTCAGGGTGAACCTGCTCTCATCTGTGAAAAACACAGGGTACCAGTGGTGGACCTGCCAATTCTGGTGTTCAATGGTAAGTGCCAATCGAGCTCTATGGTACCAGGCAGTGGTAGGGCTCTGGCAGTGCTCATCCTTTTCCTCCTTGCACAAAGGAGCAGATACCGGTCTTTCTGATGGGTTAATGACCTTCTACGGTCCTGTCCAGTTCTCCTAGAGTAAGTGCCTGCCTCCTGGAATCTCCTCCATGCCCTTGAGACTGTGCTGGGAGACACAGCAAACCTTCTGGCAATGGCATGTATTGATGTGCCATCCTGGAGGGGTTGGACTGCCTTTGCAACCTCTGTAGGTTCCAGATATTGCCTCATCTACCAGTAGTGACACTGACCCTAGCCAAATACAAAACTAGTGAAAAACAGCCAGAAAAGATTAGTAGGGGAAAAAATGTCAGTGGCCTCCACCTGTAAAACCATTCCTGTTTTACCCTAGGTTCACACCTAAGCGTTCTCTGCAGCATTTTGCAGAAATGCAGTACAGTCCATTTAACATGATTAACTATGGGACAGGTTCACATCTCCACGTTTTCAGCCAGTGCGTTTTTGGGAAAGGGTCAGGGACTTTTTTTTTTTTTTTTTTTTAAACGCAAAACGTTGCATTTTGGGTTCTATATACTTCAATGAGAATGCTGCAGAAAAACATGTATTGCGTTTTTGATGAGGTTTGCGTTTAAAATCTGCCTAGCAAGAAGAAAAAAAAAAACCCTGCAAAACGTGACAAAAACGTAAAACGCAATGCAGAAATGTATCAAAACGCAAGCTGCATAGGTGTGAACCTAGACTAAAGGCTGGCCATACAATTTTCTTGAGAATTTTGCTTTAGATTTCCCAGAAACCATATAAATATGAGGTCAAACCTAAACAACACTTTCAATTGTATCCAATTAGGAAGGCCCTTGCACTACATACTTGAAGGTACATCTAAAGGAAATTGTGCAGAAAATTGTATAATGTATGGGCAGCCTAAGGGGTCATCTCATTGTTTCCCATCTAGTGCACATGTTGTTAATTTAATTAACACCAAAGCAGCTGAAACTGATTATCAACCCCCTCTGCTACTTAACTGACCAGATCAATATCTCAGGAGTGGAATTGACTTGATGCAATACTCTGATTAAAGTGTTCCTTTAATTTTTTTTTCGAGCAGCACACACTCTCTCACACTCTCAAAGCATAAATGAGCACATAACTTTTTGAAAAGTAAGATTTTAATTAATATCTCAATGAACACAAAAAAACTTTCCAAACTGTTGACAAAACTGAGTTTTATAGAACATTTGTTTAGCTCACTACATGAAAGTAAGGTTAATAATATAACTTAGATTACAAAATTTTCAGTTTTACTCAAATTAGTTGATGCAAAAATGAATACACCCCACAACAAAAACTACTACATCTAGTACTTTGTATGACCTCCATGATTGTAAGGACAGTCCTATAGGCATGGAATGAACGAGTTGGTGACATATTGCAAAATCTATCTTTTTCAATTCTTTAAGAATGATCTCTTTTACAGGCTGGATGGAGAGCGATGCTCAACTTGCCTCTTCAAAATTCCCCATAGGTGTTCGATTGAGTCAGATCAGGAGACATACTTCGCCACTGAATCACTTTCACCCTGTTCTTCAGAAACAGTGGCCTTAGATGTGTGTTTTGGATAATTGTTATGTTGGAAAAATGCATGACGACCAAGGGCACAGAGTGATGGTTTCAATATAGAGCAGTACATCAGTGAATTCATGATACCATCAATGAAATGCAGCTCCCTGACACCAGCAGCACTCATACAACCCCACAGAAGGACATGCCACTGCCAGGTTTCACTGTAGGCACCATGCATTTTTCTCTGTACTCCTCACCTTTGCGACGCCATACAGATCTGAAGCCATCAGTTCCAAAAACATTTATCACGGTCTCATCACTCCAAGTACACTGTCCTAGTAGTCTTCTTTTTCAGCATGGGTCCTGGCAAAATTCTAGGCGGGCTTTTTTGTGCATGGGCTTTAGGAGAGGCTTCCTTCGTGGATGACACCCATGCATGCCATTCCTCTGCAGTGTATGCCGTGTTGTGTCATGGAAAACAATCACCACAGTTTAGCCTTCTACTTTTTTAGCTAACTGCAGTGAAATTGCATGGTGATCTTCTTCAACCCTTCTCATCATAAGACACTCCTGTCGAGGTTTTAATCTCCATGGACAGCCTGGACGTCTCTGTGAGATGGTTGCAGTTCCACCTTTGTTACATTTTTGTATCAATTTGACTACAGTATTCTGACTGATAAGTAAAGCTTTGCTGATCATCTTGTAGCCTTCACCTTTCTTGTGTAAAGAAAATATTTTCTGTTTCTCAGGCCTTGCGACATCTCTCTTCCATGTAATGCCATTGCGGACAGTGTGAAATGGGAAGGAGTGTTCTTTATTAAGTAACGCCCTTTTATGATCAACTGTCTGCTGGACACCTGTTTAATGAATAATTAGACTCACCTGTAATTGAATTCTTTTTAATTAGGATTTTGTTGTCTAAAATGTAGCTTTGCTCCTAAGACTTTAATTGGGGTGTATTCATTTTTGCAACATGGTCTTGAATGAATTTGTTAGGAAAAACATTTTTTTGTGTGTGCAAATTAACAAATCTGGTTTGCAATCAATGGCCTGCATTTGTGGGAGTATTTTGTAGTATAGTGTCCCATAAAAAATGTTGATTCTGAAAGGAAAGTACAGGTTTTCTGACATCTATTGGGGGTGTACTCATTTCTCATTTATGCTGAGCACTGTATATAGACACACACACTGTTTATATAAAAATCGCCTACAATTAAAGAATAAACCAACAGAAAGCATCCTCTGACCTCTTCATTGAATGCAAGGCAAGTGGTTGGGGAAACAGCAATTTTCTATGCCACTTGTGCATTTTGAAACTCCAGATGTAAATAAAGGCAACATAAGTTGACTCTTTTTGCTTACTTCTATATAGCCACAAACAAAAGATGAGAACAAACCTTCTTCCAGGAACTTGATGTCAGAGGTGTCTAAATTATGGTCTCTTTCAAACAACTGCTTTCCTGCATGACCAATGTAGAAATGTTTGTTACATTCAGTGATATCAAATAACAGAACAGATATAAAATGCCACAATAGAAAAACAGAATTAACGTTCAACTTTAAGCTGATCTACACTGTATCTGAGCACCACAAACACTATTTAAAAGAAAAGTATGGGAATTCCTTTTTTTCCTCAAACCATACTTACCTACGTGGATGCAGCGATAATCCAATGCTGCATCTGTCCCCAGCCGGCTCAAAGGGTAAGAACTCAGTGATCACATGACCGCTGATTTCTCACAGCCGCACTGAGCAGTGACTAAGTCACCGCTGTCTGCCCTGCCCCCGCACTCACTGGAGTGCTGCGCTCTGGAGGGGTTGGGGGAGAAGCTGGTTTAGGCTCTCAGTGGATCACTGACAGGCTGAGACAGGTGCTGCTCCAGACTCTGGGGTGGATCCCGATTTTAAAGTCGCGATCTTTCCCCAGCCTGGAGCGGTTGAGTGATGTCAGCTGGCAGCAGACTTTAGGCTGCTGTCAGCTGAAAGAACTGCACTCCTGTGATCCACAGAAGTACAGCCAAATAAGCTTTGGCTGTACTTCTCCTTTAATTCATTTTTACTATTCAGCGCAAACTTACACATCCAACCAGGTCTTCATGTAATATTAGCAAGCGTGTAAAAAATTGTTTTTACATTAAGAACTTCAAGTGATTGTAAACCCTTAATTTTTTGTAAAATAACAAACATGTTATACATACCTGCTCTGTGCACTGCTTTTGAACACAGCAACCTTGACTCTTTTTTTTTTTTTTTTTTATCCCTCCTAATAACGCTGGCTTCATACGGTTTTCTCTGGACACGGTTTATTTTTTCTTGGGCAGTGATTTTTTTCTGCCTTGGTGAGCAAGTAGAAGTTCTCAAGCTGACAGGACAAATCAGTATAAATTGGATCTTCTAATCGCCGATTAGACACCTGTGTATCCACTCACAACTTCATCCAGGATTCAGTGCAAAGACAGGAAACAAACTGGAATTCATGGGGCATTTAGTCCAATAACAAAAGTAGGAGACAAACAGATGCTGCGGAATAAATCTCCTTCAGGCATCAGATTATAATTTAAAAAGTGACTGCAGTATGATGTCATCACAAGTAAGTTTTCTCTTCTCTGAAATTGGTTACTACAAATTGTTAAATAGGCTGGATTTATAAATGGGCATAAATAATGTGAGATGACAATTTTGTAATCCCAGAGTTTGGCTTTCAGCAACAATCCACACTGCAAATATCTGGACCCAATAAGAGAAACATAAATATGTAAAATGTTCTAACTCTGATACAAGCATATTTTCCAGAGTTAAAAATACCTGCTAACCCCATGGTCGGCCATGAATGGGTCGACCAATTTTTCGTTCGAAAATAAGATTTAATTATAACCAGCCAATTTTCGCTGTTAGTGGGTCACTGGCACCGGCCGATTTTCGTGGTTCCTCCCCTTTTCGGTGATCGGCCATGTTGGAAAGTTTGTGAAAAACATTCGATTTTTGACTAAATGATGGTCAAATTATACGATCGTTTTTCCGAAAAGAATATGCACATGAGCCGTGACCTGGAAGGAACAGAAGTTTTGTCTGTTATATGGGGTGAACTTTATGACTCGGTCAGCCAATTTTCGAAAATCATTGATGGCACCATCAGATTACCGAGCGAACGACGTTTTCGATCTTCGGACGAAAAATCGTTCGGCATTCGAACCATGCATGGCCTGCAATAGAGAAATCCAGCAAATTTCTAACCTCCTTTAGGGCTCGTTCACACTTGACTGTTTTACCAACTCTTGCGAAACGCCCCTAGCATTTGGCAAGCGTTGGTGGAGCATTTTGTAACGCTCGGCAAAAGCTCCGCAAACGCCGCATGCACGGTTCAGCGGCGGTTGCTAGGCGTTTGCCAAGCGTTAAAAACGCCCCGCAAAGCCTATAATGAAGTTTGGATGGTGTTACCGCTCCGCAAATGCCCCGCAACCACGTCACAACCGCACACGCGCCGGCAGTTTGCAGAGCGGCACTATAAACTAGAATAGGAGGCTTCAACGCCTCCTGACTCGACCAGAGGCATCCGTTTTGCCGCGCCTCGACCGCTCCCGTTAGAACAGCACCATGTGCTGCAATGGGCAGAATTGTCTGAGGCGTTTGGGAAGCGGTAAAAACGCTTCCCAAACGCCTTTCTGCCACTTGAAAACAAGGCTAGTGTGAACGTAGCCTTAGCGAGCTGACAACACTGTCTTTGCTGCACTGAAGTTCCAAGCAGTGTATTAAGCCTTGCCCATGTTCTCCCCAGCAGGACTAAAGAACATCTACCTTATAAGTTATGAAGATGAAGGAGAACTAGACAGGGCTGACAACGTTGCTTGGGATTTCAGTATAGCAGAGGCAACATGCTGTCAGCCCTGCAGGAAGTGAAGAACGATAGGGGAAATGTGAGCATATTGCAGAGATATATTGCATATATTTTAATATGCTAGTCATCCCATCTGGTAAATACTGGCACACAACTATTTTCCCTTCTTAGTCTACTGGCACAATTACCATAGAAGAAAGAAAGACTAAGAGGGTGATGGTCAAATAAAAATTTAATTCATGCAACAAAACATTACCATAAAGGCATTTCATACAAAACCTACCAGATAATTTATTTTTTCCAGATTGCTCTTCTTCCTTCTGCTTTTTTCGCCTCATTTCTGCTAAATCAGTATCAAATTTGGCTTTCCAACTAAGAAAGTTTTCAATTGTTACAGGAGTTCCATGGAAACGCACCTAGTGGATTTAAAGGTTTATGTTGTTAAATTAAAAAAAATAAATATAATTATATAAAAATAAAAAAAAAAAATGTCTATTAGTACACAAAATGTATATGAAATATTTTATTCATAAAATGTTGGCAAACATGTTCTTGTTTGATGTAGTTGCAGCAAACGGATCTTTAAACCCCAACACTATTTTCAGGGTTATTGCAAAGACATTCTCTTTGTACATATGGAGAAAAATGAGGCATTGTGTCTTTTGGTTAGTAGTATATTTTCCCTCTAAGGGAATTGTAAACTAAATTATGGGTGTAAATATAAAGCAGTGAATGTGACATTCACTGCAGGTGAATCCATATACTGAATATTTTGTAATGAAAGATTCACCACTACTGGCTGTGGTTTGATGAATGCCCCATTCACTGACTTACAAAAAATGCCCTTAGGCCCTGTTCACACAGGCAACCAGCAAGCAGTAAAAACACAGTGTATAGGTTTTACTGCCCCCCAACCTAAATAAAAGCAATGCTCATGGCTGCACTCATTGTTGTTTGCATTTGCCATGCAGTAAATGGTTTTTAACACTATTTCCAGGACCCCATTCAACAATTGTAAAATAGAATATTGTAGATCAATAGAACAAACCGTGCTGCATACAAACATTTTGTCTTCATGCAAGTTGCCAAGCATAATTAATGAAGAGTGACTCCACAAAATAGATCACTTTAAAGTTGTTCACTAAAATGTATTAAAATTTTAGTACAATGGGATACTACAGCCAAAAACTGGAAATATTAAAGGCAATTACTATAATCTACAGTAAAATTTCCATTACCTGTTCACATTTAATGCTGATCAAAACAAGGTGCATCTCAATAAATTAGAGATATCATCAAAAAGTTAATTGATTTCAGATAATTCAGAATTCAAAAAGTGAAACTCTATATTTTATAGATTACACACAGAGTGATCTATATTTCAAAGCATTTCTTTCTTTTAATTTTGATGATTATGGCTTACAGCTAGTGAAAACTCAAAATTCAGTATTTCAGAAAATTGTGAAAAAGTTCAATATTTGTAGACTCATGGTGTTATACTCTAATCAGCTAATTAATTTAAAAACACCTGTAAAAGTTTCCTGAGCCTTTAAATCGGTCCCTCAGTCTGATTTGAGTACGTTTACACAATATTGGGGAAGGACTGAACGAATTGACAGTTGTCCCAGAAGATAGTCAATGACACTGCTCCACAAGGAAGGGTAGTCACCAAAGGGTTATATGCTACAAGAAGCTGGCTGTTGACAACAGTGCTGTATCCAAACATATTATTAGAAAAGTTGGAGTGGGAAGGAAAAAAGTTGTGGTAGACAATAAAAAAAAAAAATAGGTGCACAAGCAACGGGATAACCCCGCAGCCAAACTTGAGAGGATTAGTGAAGCAAAAGGCCATTCTAACGAATTTGGTGTGGACATTTCACAAGGAGAGGATTTTACGGCTGGTGTGTCAGTTGCTTCAAAGAAGCCACCAAACACAGACATATCCATATCCAGGACATGGGTAAACCCCCGTAAGAAAAATTTCCCTTTGTGTCAAGCCACTTCTAAACCAGGAAAATTTGTCAAATTTGGTTTTTAAATGGGCAAAGGAGAAAAAAAAAAAATTGCTGCTCGTGGTCCAAAAGTCTTCTTTTTTGGGTTAAGAAAAATTTTGCATTTATTTGGGAAAATAAAGGGCCCCAAAGAGCTAAAAGAAATAGGGGGAGAGGCACAGGAACCCAAATTGCATAAAGGTCAAGGGTTTTAATTTTTTAACAGTCAGGTAAAAAATTTGGGGGACCCATGCCCTCGGGTTGGATGTTGGCCCCAAAGGTTTTTAAAAAGCCAAAAAAGTAAAGCGCAGCCTTCTAAGGAAATTCCCTAGAGAAACTTCTTGTTTCCCCTTCCCGCCCCAATTTTATAGGTTTGTGATTTCCTTTCCAGAAGGACTTGGCCCCTGCCCACACTGCCCAAAAACCCAATATTGGAGGTTTTTAAGGGATCAGGGTTTCCCAACTGTGCTTAGGAAGCAAAAAATGGTTTTGCCCCCAAAAACCCCTTAGAGAATCGTGGGGGTTTATATCAAGGGAAGTTGAACACCCCCCAGACCCAAAACAATGCCCCAACGGAAAAAGGAAAAGGATGCTTAAAAGGGAAAACCTGGGCTTCCATTAAAAAACCAGCATTCCCAAAGGCTGGTTTCATGCCAAGCCCCCTTAGGGGCAGTAATTCAATAGTTTTGGAGTGAAACATTTAAACTGTAATCGGGGGTTTTAAAAACTTTCAAAACAAAGGGCCATTTTAAATGTCCTTCAGCTTTAGGAGGGCCGGGGGAAAAAAGGGGAGTAAAATTCCCCAAACTTTCGTAGGATTTAAAAAAAAAAAAAAAAAAAAAAAAAGAAGGGGACTTTTAGTTCTTTTTTTGTTTGGGGATAGGGGGAAACATCCCCCGGTTAAAAATTGGTTTTTTAGTTAGGGGGAAAACATTGCCCCCTTTGGGAAAAAAGTTTGGAACCCCCAAAAATTGCCCCGTTTTTTGGGTTTTAAATTTTGGATGAAGGGGTCCCCCATCATTAGTTTTTTAAGTTGAAGGTTTTATGCCCCCATCATTTGGTTTTAAACTAGGAGGAAAAAGGTGCCCCATCTTTGGAAATTACTAGGGGGAATAGGCCCCCATCATTGGATTTTACTGGGAAGGAATATTTCCCCTCATTGGTAATACGGGAGGTCCCAGAAACCCCATCATTGGAAAATTAGGGGAGGAAAAAGTGCCCCCTCATTGGTTTTTAGTGGGGGGAAATTAGTCCCTCAACCTTTGGGGCCAGTGGGAGGAATAGGGGCCCCATAAATTTGGTTTGGTCATGGAGGATTAGTTGCAAAAAGAATGAGCAAAAATTATTCAAAAAAATTGGGTTCGGTGATTCCCCCCCGAATTCCCCCCCCGGCCAAAAAATTGGGCCTCGGCCAAATTTAATTCGATGCAAATTTTAATTATAAAAAGGGTGATTTTTAGGCTTCAGAGGGGCCTTTATATAGTGCAGAAAAAAGGGAACCTTTTAAATTTTAAAATGCCCTTTGGGAAAGTCTGCGGGGGAGGGGAAATAATTACTTTTCAGCTTATGCCATGAAAAGTTTGGGGGTTGCCTTCGATCTTAAAATTCACCGCACACTTCCTCTTTTGGGCCCAGCCCACGGGCCCAAAAAACCCAGGTTTTGGGGGCCACATTTGGGCCCGGTGGAGGAAAGCAGAAAGGGGGAGGCCCCATACAGAAACCCTATACAAAAGGGAAAACCCAAAAACAGTGTGAGGAGACCTAAAAAGGGGCACAGGGGCAAGGGGGGGCGATGGAGAACGCCCCCAATGGGAAAGGCCCTTTACGGGGACCCATGCCCAAAAACCCCCCTGGCCCCGGAAACACCCATGAGGGAAGGGGGGTAAAAGGGGCCCCGGACGATTAGGGCCCTTTTTGGCCGCAGCATGAGGAGTCGATACGGGGGCCCATTGGCAGATTCGGGCCCTGGCAAGCAGCATAAAGGAGGCGGTACGGGGGCCCCCCCAAGGGCAGAGTGGGGGGGGGAGCGTAAGCAGTTTAAAAAGGGAAGGCCAAAACAGGGGCCCTTTATTTTTAAAAAGCCCCCCAGCAGCAGGTGGGGAGACGCCCTTAAAAAAGGGGCCCAAAGGGGCAGATTTGCGGAGCAAAAAGCAGCTTCAATTGGGGCCATACACGGGCCTTTGGGGTTAAAAAAGGGACCCCCCAGCAGCAGGGTGGGGGACGATATAAAAGGGGTCCAAGGGAGATTTGGCGGAGCGGAAGCATTTTTCAATTAAAGGTTTTTACACGGGCCTTTGGTTAAAAAGTCCCCCCAGAAACATTTGGGGGGAGAAAGGATTTTCAAGAGCCCAAAGGTTTGAGTGGCGACCCGGGAAGTCAGCTTTGGTGTTTGGGAAAAGATCAATCCCAAGAGATTCTAGGAGGTGTTTCCCGGGGGGTGCGAAAAAGATCATATAACCCCCCCCCCCCCTTTTACTTAAAATCCTTTAAGAGGGAACAACCTGCGAACTGGGAGGGTTTTTTGCCCGCCCCGCGGGAGCACCCTTCCCTTGGGTTTACCCCAAGAGGCCCCAGGGCCCCGGGAGTGGCGGGGGGTTTAAGCATTTAAATTAAAGGCCATACAGAGGCCTATTTTAAAAAAGGGCCCCCCCAAGCACCAGGGGGGAAACACTATAAAGAGCCCCAAGGGCAGGGGTGGGGGGAGCGGAAAAGCGCTTCAATTAAAGGCCATACACGGGGCCCTGGTTTAAAAAAAGCCCCCCCCAGAAACATGTGGGGGACGACAAATTCAAGAGTCCAAGGGGTGAGTGGCGTTTTCCGGGAAGGTCAGCGTTGGGGTTTTTGCAGATGAAATTCCCAGAATTTTATGAGGTAATGCCGAGGGGGGCAAAAGAAAAACCAATTTTTCCCGTCGTACTTTCCACCCCAAAAGGAGGGAACAACCGCAAAACCGGGTTTTTAAATTCCCCTTTACCCGTGTCAGCTTCTGGGACCCCCAAAGATTTTTGGTTTCCCCCTGGGGGGAAATTTGGTTAAAAAAACTGAAATTTAAAAGGGCGGGTTGACGGAAGGGGCCCCCAATTGTCCGTGCTCCGGAGGGAATATAGCTTCAAAAGCGACATTTAAAAAAGGAAAACGCGGTCAGAAAACCACGGGAAAGGGGAAGGCTTCCCCGTCTTAAATTTCGCCCTGAAATGTGGCAGACGGGGAAACTTTCTGGGGCCGAAAGGGGGGAAAGGGGTTGTTCCCCCTTTTCGGAATAAGTTTTGGGGAAAGGGCACCCTTTTTGGTTTTGTGGCGTTTGTTATTTAATTCCGTTAACCCGGATCTACTCCCCCGTGCAATCTGTTACGAGACCCGGGGAAAGGTTTCTGGGTCCAATTTGTTTTAGAGAGGGGTTTTGTTCACCACCTCTTGAGCAAAGA